AATCTTTAAAGTAGAATCTGGCAATGATGCTAGTACCATAAGAGCAAGGACCTCATCATCAAAATTAACTCCCATACCTGACAATTGATCAACAATCCCTTGAAATTCATTCAAGTGGTCCGCAACAGAACTACCCTCATTATATCTCAACTACACCAATTTTGTGAGATAAAACAATTTGTTGTTGCCAGTCTTTGAAGCATATAAATCTTCAAGTTTACTCCACAGTGTCCTTGCGTGGGCTTCACTACAAATATGATTATACACATTATCTTCAACAAATTGTCGAATAAAACCACATACCTGTTCATGCTCAAAGGCCCACTCTTCATCTGATTTATTTTCAGGTTTCTGGGTAGCAAACACGGGTAAATGCAACTTCATCACATATAGTAGATCTTTTATCTTATTCCTCCATATGTGATAATTTGTGCCATTCAAACTTGCAATTCTATTGAACTTTCCTTCCATAGCTTCGCACAGTAATTAACTTGAACCTGGGCTCTCATACCAATTGTTGGGAAGAAAGCTCGCAAGAATATATAATTAACACAATAAAATAAATAAACAACACTAAAAGAACACCAAGAATTTTAACGTGGAAAAACCTCCTCAAGGCAAGGAGTAAAAAACCACGGGCACAAGCCAGTAAACCTTCCACTATATAGATAATGGGTACAACAGAGGAGGCTTCTCTAATTCAACAATTAGAGGCAACACAATGCAAGAGAAAATAACATACCCCGAGGCACAAGAATTTCTACGAAATCCACCAACTTCTTCTTGGCTAATTTTCTCACACTTGTATATCTCACACAAATTTTCTCTCCTCTCTTTTTTTTCTTCTTGAACTCTCTCATATCCAAGGTAGCCAATCCATGGCCTTTATATAGGCTTTACAAAGCCAACTCTTTTGTCTTTTCATTTGTCCACTTTAATCTCCCATTAAGTGGACATGAATGAAGCTATTAATAAAAAATAAAAAAAAACCTTTCACTTTATCTTCCAAGCTTAATTGTTAAGCTTTTGGTCACCACCCTACCCACATTGATGGGACCATTTAGCAACAAAAACAAAGAATAAAAACTGAAAAATTAAAAAACAGAAAACAGTTTCTTGAAATACTCTCAATATTTCTCCTTATAAATATACAAAATTAGAGAAAGGGTCCAATAGGCTGATACAGTTTATACAAAAAGTGAATTAGGTAAACTTTCAAGGAAAGGAATCGTGTAATATCAAAACATCATTGTTGGATTTTCACATTTAGTCTTCAACTTCTAATTCACCATATTTAATCTTATGACTTTATTGATTTTGTCATGTTTGGTCATCTATTACAATTTGTTGACATTTTCATATTTAATCATCTATTAAAATTTTAATTCAATTTACTTTAATTTTTAGGACAGACTGATAATTTGGTTGTTTTAAAATTCTATTCCTACTTTAAAAAATTCTCATAAATAACATAATAAATTATTTAACTAAAAAAAGAGAGCTAATTTTCATTTTAAAAAATCTATCAAATTATTGGTTATTATGTCTTTTGTGAACATTTTCAAAAAAAAAAAATAAATAAATAAAAGTAAAATTGTAAAATACTTAAAATTTCCTAAATATTAAATTTAATTTAATAAAAATTGTAACAAAAAATCAAATATGATAATATTAGTAAAATTATGAGACTAAGGATCTGTTTAGAAACATAGAAAATGATTTTCAAAAAATGACTCATTTTCTTGTAAATAATTTAATTTTCAATGTTTGGCTGAAGGTTTGAAAAATATATTTTTTTTGTTTGGTAAAAGTTAAGAAATTGAGTTTTTTTTTTTTTTGTTTAGTTCATTTTCATAAAAAGAACATATATTTTTACAAAATATAATATAATAATAATAATAATAATAATAATAATAATAATAATAATAATAATAATAATAATAATCTACTATACTAATAAGAGCCCAAGAGAGTTAGGCCTATAATGAGTAGAAAAAATGACGGTAAAATTTTTTAGTCAAATGAATCGCTCAGATTGATCAGATTTTAATTTCTCCTTAAAATTTTCTAATTTATCCTTAATGAATATGATTATCCGTTAACTTTTCCGTTAAATATTATCTTTTCCGTTAATTTCTGTTAGTTCACCGTTAACTTACTCATTGATTTCAATAACAAAGGTCTTAGGTTCGAACCCCATCCCAATCAAAGTTGGCATAATTAGTACTCTATTTTACTCTTATTAAATTATTAAATAAATAATAATTTAGTAGCTACAACAAAAAATAATGCATATGCATTTCTTTAATTTAGAATTATGTGTCTACAATGTTTTTATTCAAAAAAAAAAATTATTCATTATCAATAAATTAAATTTTTTTTTGATGAATATCAATAAATTAAATAAGATAAATAAATACTACAATGTAATAGAGCTAGTAGCATTCAAAAAATAAGATAAATAATTTCATTAGTTATATTGTCTTTATTTTTCTCCAATATAAAAATTCTTTACACTCAAATTCATCAATTGATTATATTCGCTACATTGCCCCTACAATGTCTTTATTAAAAAAAATATTCATTATCAATAAATTAATTAACATGTAAAATGACCTAAGGGTATACATATATTTAATAATAATAATAATAATAATAATAATAATAATAATAGTAATAATAATAATAATAATAATAATAATAATAATTGTTTTTAAAAAAATAAAAAATATATAATTAAGTCAAACATATTAACTACTTGGAGAATTTATTGACAAAAAGAGTATTGAAATCACACAACAAATTGAAGTGGGAAACTATCTCGCAATGTCCTTGTTTGACAATCAGCAGTTAACGCTTCAATATTATTGTATATTTAATATTGTATGCCCTAATTTTTATTTGCTCTCCCTTATGTACCGTATTTGGTTTCAACCATACCTATACAATTATTTTATTGACAATTATAATCAATCTTGACTATATTATCTTGCATTTGTAAACTTAGAATTACCTATTTAAATACGCAAATTCAACATTCAATTATCTATGCATGAACACTTCCAATATAATCTTGCATTGATATAGTTTAAAGTACTTATTTAAAAAAAAAATATTGTGCATTATCTCAATCGCGCAATGCACATAAAAAACAAGTAATAATAATAAGTGGTGTAGTTGTGGTGGTGGTGGTGGTGGTGATGGTGTGTGGTAGTGGTGTTGGTGCGTGGTGTGGTGTTAGTGGTTGTTGTTGTGGTGATAATAATAATTTGAAAACTAACTTGAAAATAGATGAGAGGGAAAATAAAGAATCTGAAAAATGTATTCTGAACAAAAAATCTATGAAGACATTTTCTATCAAATTAGGTCTTTTTTCCGTTGACCAGAATAAATATTTTTCGTTGACTTATTTTCCTTGAATACCCAAACACAAGAAAATCTTGAAAATAAATATCGGAAGTCATTTATGAATTTTCAAATGAACCTTAAATGTGATCAAATTAAAATATAAATACTAAATGTAACAATTTCACAATAATAATGGATTAAAATAAAAATTTCTCGAGGGGATGTATCATGACTCCCCCACCCCTTAATAAACCAAAAAAAAAAAAAAAGTGTCCCCCATTAATCGGAAATAATATATACTTCTAGTCAATTATGCAATTTTCTTCAGTTCTTCTTCTAAAAAGGCTGAATCCCAACCCCAAGGGCAATTTTCTTCATTTCTTTATTTTGCAAGTAGTAGGTTTGGCTATTACTTGCCCACTAAATAATAAGTAGCCCACAAAATATCTTAACAAAATTAATTATGAAATCTTATCGCACCATTAATTACTGAAAAGATAATTGCATTCGTTTCAAGGTCAAGGTTATGGCTTCATGAAATTCCATCCACTTAAATTACGTAACCAACTTCGTTGGTGTGAGTGGTCGTACACTTATATGAAAAAATCAATATGGCCAGCACTTTACTCATTTATTGAGTCAATCCAGTGCGAGTAGAGATTAACCAGAGTATGACACGGATTTAAATGTGTCTTCTATAGTTAAGACACCTCGTGGTTTTAGGAAAAAAAAAACATTTAAGCTATGTTTAATTTTTTAGTTTTTTTTTTTCCAATACTTATTGTCAAATAAAAGAAACAGTAAAAATAAGCATATTTTATGTTTTATTTTTATAAATTTTCATTTAAAAGAATAACAAATTTCTTTAACTAATAAACACAATATTATCTTTAGACGTTATGAATGTAATATCTTTTCATATTGTTGATGGGACAATTGGACAAAGTACTGGATCCTATCTGATGCGTTTAACCTATCAAAGCAGTCAAACAACGGTCAGGAGCAAGAGAACAGGTGGAACGGTTACAAGAGCCTACACATTAAGAGCACAGTCTCATCAAAGACAGGAGTTATGGATGACAATGTCACTTATTAGGAGTCCATTGCTATCATTATTGTAACAGTTACAGGTTTATAGTATAAAGGCTGACCCCATGTAGCCAGGGGCGGAGCCAGGATTTGTTGGTGCGGGGGTCGATCACAATTTGAGAGATAATAATAAAATTCATTAATATTCATTTCACATATTCCAAAATACATCATTATATTACAAATCTACTAAAATTTAGAACGTCTCTCTTGCATGTCACAAAAATCATCTATAATTGAATCTATACTAAATTGTATTACAATTTGTCTTTCAATATATACTAACAAACAATCATTAAGCAAGTCATCTTCCATAATCTTGTTACGGAGTACGTGTAGTTTTTACTATATTCATGGCAGAAAAAAGATCGTTCTGTAGTAGCTGTAGATACTGGAAGTGTGAGAATGAGAGTTACTACTCTGAACACAAGAGGATAGATGCTCGATTTTCTAGTTTTCACCAACCATTGGCATAGATCAGAAATACTTTCTAGTGTTATGAAATTACGAAGTTGTTGCACATGTTCAAAATGTTCAAGTTGCGTTCTCAGTTGTAAAATCTCTTAATCTTTAAAGTCTTGAGGGTAAAATTTCTCCACCAACTTGCAAATGTCATCAATTCTGAATGATATACGCATCTCTTTTGGATCTAACGATGAACTGAGAATAATTAACTCCATTGCTTTGTCATCAAACTTATTGCTCAACTCTTGCAACTGAGAATCAATCACAACATTAAAAATATCAAATTTGTAATGATGCCCATCCAATTATTAATTCATCTTGTTGATGCCTAGCCCTTCCCCTTCCCCTTCTTGCAATATATTGAGCATCAAAATCCGGCACAGTTATGTTGACAGTTTCACAAGAAGACTTCACACTGCAACTAATTCATCCCATCCACTATCGCTTAAATTTTAAATAAGCAATTTAGTAGATGACACAAGATGCATTGCATTTAATATTTCTTGAGATTGAAGTTGTAAAGATTGGCAAAGCATATTTGAAATCTCCAAAATTTTTCTTATGAGATGCATAATGAATACAAACTCAAAAGAAGTGAGTACCTCATAAGCTGCATCAGCATCTCCACAGTGAGCATGTGTAGTTCCATCTTCAATAATATTAAGTAAAACTTCACATGTTGCACTATGCATTCTCATCAAACTTGAAATAGACTTCAAATGAGAACTCCAACGAGTATCACCCGGCCTTTGTAAAGAACCAATTTGATTAAGACCTCTCTCACTTTCAAGCTCATTAATACTAAGCAAATGAGCAATATTTGAGGTATGGGCAACTTTCAACTGATCATTGCGCTTACATGATGCCCCAACAACATTAATAATAGAGAACTTGGTGAAAAATTGATGGACAGGGATAACTTCCTTTGATGAAGCTACTAAATGCCAATTGTAATCGATGTGCAAAACAATGAACATAATAAGCATAAGGACATTCATCCAATATTAAAGCTTTCAATCCATTCCATTCTCCACGTATGTTACTTGCACCATCATAAGCTTGTCCCCGAATATTCTGAACATCAAGATTATGACTAGATAAGATAGAAAAGATAGATTCTTTCAATGTTGATGCAATAGTGTCCTTAACATGAACAACTCCAAAGAAATGTTCTTGTATAAAGCCATCTTTATTAACAAATCTCAAGACAATTGACATTTGTTCATTCTTTGATTCATCTCGAGCTTCATCAATAATGATACAAAATTTTGCATCACCAATTTCTTCTCGGATAACACTTTTTACTTTAGTTGCCAACACTTGCAAAATTTACTTTTGTATTGTTGGTGATGTATATGATGCATTTCATGGGGCCTTACCAAGAACTTTTGTTACTTCATCATTAAAAGAGGCAATGAAACTCAATAGCTCTAAAAAGTTTCCACGGTTTATTGATGTTATTGACTCATCATGACCTCTAAAAGAATATCCTTGAAATGCAATCCATCTCGTTGCCTCAATTGAAGTTTTCAAGCGAAGTCTATTCTCTGCTATTTCTTGAGAAGTGAATTTCTCAATATGTTGTGCAATGTGTGATTGTTGGTTCATGAGATCCGCACAAGCTTTCTCGGCATTTCTGTGAGGAGAGGTGAGATCTTTCCCAATATGTGCTAAAAATGAGCAATTTTTTCCATCTCTAACTTTCTTCCATGATCTAAACCCATTGATAGTAAACACATCCAATCCGGAAGGCCCATCTTGAGTATGAAACAAATAACATGGTAGACAAAATGCTGCATCTTTACTAGGAGAATATTCTAACCAAGAAGGGAATAACTTAAACCAAGATGCTTGAAAACTACGAGGATGATTTTCTTCCGATTTTGGATACTTTGAAAGTAAACATTGATATGGGTCGGCCTTGATATAAGCTCTCCTAACTTCATCACGCTTCTCAATGGGACACTTCCACATTGGTAGTCGCAATCCCGGATCACGTTCTAATGCTTGAATATCAATCTTCTCATTGATTTCAACTCTTTGAGCTTTTTCAGGACGACTTTCAGAATTCAATGGTTCAATACTTAAAAATGGATTTACTTGAGATGTTGAATCTTCAAAATTAATTCTTTTAAAGAAAAGATCAATTCTTAGTGTCTTTTTCATTTCAACTTAATCTTCTCATGTTCGCACTGTTAATTTTTTTGACAAATCAATTAAATTAACTAAAACCAAATGAAAAAAAATAAATAAATAGAGAAATATTAAAGTAATAGAAATTTAAAGATTTTGGTAGTAAAATGAAAATTTATTATTATGATAAACACAACTGTAATGATACTAAAAAAAAAAACACACAATTTTAATGTATTTCATTTTCCTTAGCATTTAGCAATAAGAGCATATAGTAGATCACTTGTAACCGGTGATCTTAGCCTGTCTCTCTCTCACACACACACATAATAGATAACAAAAATAGGTAAAAATAAATTATGTATCACCAAAAAAAATAAAAAACTATTTTTGAGAACTCGTGATTAATCTAATACTACGGCCCCAAAAACGGAATACAATTGTTATTATACTATGGACCAGGGCTCTCTTTGCCTTGTAGATTCTGGTCCAAAAATCATATGCCTGCCGTTAACATATTATGTGTTTTTAATTAATAAATTATGTACCTATAAATAAATTGAAAGTACATAATTTTTTTAACTACTGACACATAATATGTTAACTGACATATAATATATTAATTACATATTATGTGCATGTAGTTTATATATTATGTGTCTTTAATTTATTTACAAACACATAAATTAAAGAAAAAAATCTAGCCAAAAATTCTCATTTCCCATTAGATAAAAACTAATTCCTGTTTTTTTCTTCCTCAAAAAACTATGTAAAAACCATTGCTTTAAATGTGTAATTCCTTTACTCTCGCAAATTTTACATTTAAAATGATATATCACGAAATAAAAGTTGTGTTGTTATCCCCAAGTCCGAAACGCCACTAGAAATCCATGGTACAAAAACCAAAAGTAGTAGAGAAGTAGAGCTACGGATGGTTATTGCATCTACATGTCCTTTAAAGATCTACCCATAAGATCTTCTTTGAAACCCTCCAATTTTGATTGCATCATCATCCCTCTCTTCTCTCTCCTGCATGCCTCTCTCTCTCTCTCTTTCTAAAATTGTTTTAGAAGAAATTTACAAGTACAGTGGTGAGTGAAACAGTACAAGTGTGTGTACAAACTCTCTTTTCCCTTTCACATTCACATCCATTTGCCTTAACCATTTAGTTGTTAGATTCAGGTAGCAAAAGCATGTTTTTTACATACCCTCTTTACTCTCCTTTCTTTATCACCCCCCCCCCCCCCCCTTCTAGCTACTACCTATCCCTACATTGCTTCACTTAGCCTACCTGCCTCAATGTGGCTAAAAGGCAGGCTCCCTTTTAACACCTAAGAAAAGATGTACATGCCAAGACTCAAAAAAGTATTGTAAAAGAAAAAAAAAACTTCATCTTTTTATATAATTTAGGAAATATGACATTTGTTTCTCTCTAAATTATACTCCGAATGTATATAGCTTTTTTCTCTATGAATTATTTATATATTCACATTACCCATCTCAATTATTTTAAATGTGACAATTTTATCATTTTTTTTTATGTTAAATGAACATTTTTACCCTTACAAATAAATAGTTCATTTATTTTTTTATCCAACCAATTATTACTTATATATGGAATCAAAATAAATGGTAAAAAAGAACATGTACCATTTACACATATTATAATTATAATTTTAAGTTAATGTTGGTAACATAATTAAGAGTTAAACACAAATAATATACACTATTTACAAATATATAATTATAATTTTAAGCTAATGCTAGTAACATAATTAAGACTTAAACACAAAAAAATTGTTACAACTAAATAATTATAATTATAATATTAATGTTACTAGTATTGCCATAGAATTATAATTATAACATTTACAAATTATGTTTGCTCTTTTTTACATTTTTTTCTGATTCCCCCATATAAGTAGACATGATAGCAGTTTAGTTCTAGTTCTCGATTTTGGAAAATGAGAAACCGGAACAAGCGATTCCAGTTTGAACCATCGGCTCGAACCCTTTTTTATTTTTTGTTATCGTAAATTTTATTTTCTATTTCTAAAATAGTTCAAATTCAACAATTATTCTATTTTTTTTTTTCAGTTTGGAACCCAAACCGATGATTCCGTTTCTAAACCGTAACCAAAATTGTCCCTATGGTTTATGTTCGGTAGCTACAGCGTATGATCGGTTTGAACCGAACTATGGTCATTCCTGCATATAAGTAATAATTTGTTAGAGAAAAAAATGAAATATCTATTTTTAAAAGTAAAAATATATTCTTAAAAAAAAAAAAAAAGTAAAAATATCTATTTAACATAAAATGGGAAAAAATCGTCACTTTTAAAATAATTGAGATAACTAATGTAAATATATGAATAATTGAAGGAAAAAAATACCATATGCATATAATTCATATGAAAACAATGACATTTTCCCTCTAGTTTACTCTAACACAATAAAAGATATGAGTCTCAAGCCCATGGCATATGGTGGAAATGTGGAATGTCAATAGCTAAGTTTGTATGTAATAGAAAGTTACAAATTCAATTTTTTTATTTTAAGTTACTCCTTTGTTCCATTTTATCTATTCTATTTACTATTCATATTCATCGGTCAGATCAATTCTTTCTTTTTTGTTTATTTTCTTTAGTATTTTTTACTTATCTTTAAATTTGATTTTTTGTATTTAAAAATAACTTTTAGTATAATTTCTACACATATAAATTTTATATACTAAAATTAAATTTAATATTATGAAAAAAATTGATTAAAAACAACATCAGTCAAATATCATTAATTGGACACATAAAATGGAGCGGATGAAGTATAATTGATCTCATCTATAAGATAGTGATTGTGAGTTGTGAAGTGGTGATAGAGTGTTGATGGAGCTAGTCGTTACCAATATATTAGTGAACTTTATTGATTGAATTGAACAAATAAAATGGGTATCATTATTGATGAAAAGCAGATATAGATAGATAGATAGAGGACAAGGGAAACCAGTTTTTCAGAACTGAAGGCCAACTAGCAGATTATATTGTTGGGTGAGGGGGTGGGGGGATGGGCCCTCTGATTCTAAAGAGTAAAGGCTGCAACAGAAATGAGTGGATCTGCACTGCACCATCAAATAGTAGTACTAGTAGAGCCATGCTTTTTCATCACCCTATAATATGGACTATATTTCTTCATTTCTTTCATTTTCTCTCTCTCTATAATCTCTCTGTATATAAATGCATACATGTACACATACATACATAATATATATATATATATATATATATATATATGCCTCGGTCATAGATCGTGATCAAAAGGTTGAGCATAAGTGTAATGACCCTGTAAATATTTGTGTTTGGTCTCAATAGAAGAAGATCTTGCATTACTAATATAAAAAAGATGTGAGTAAACTTTGTATTTTTACTCTAATTTGATAAAAGATCACAAAAAAGTAAATTAACTTAAATTATTTTTAGCTGGGTGGTTCAAACCAAGTGATCTTATAATTACAAACATAGCTCTGTTGTCATCTTCACTGAGTTACCCTTTCTTAGCATATCTTTTGATAATAATCATAATGGGTCCATATGATTCATAACCCTTGCCCCTCTGCAAAAGCCCATTTTTTGGCCTTTATTATGACCCTCTCTTTCATGCTTTCATCTCAACCCTATCTGTGAAAATGAGTGAATAAATGTCCTTTGGATTTTTTTCTCTCTTTTTTTTTTTTAATCACTTTAGGGCAATGACAAATTGACAATACTGATTTTTGGAAGGTTTTAATATGTCTAAAAACTTGAACATAATTTTTCAACAAATAGGGAGAAAGATTTTTTGGTAATTTATCATTAGATAAATACCTGATTTTTGCCTCCATAGTGAGATCCACCAAGAAAAAAATAAAATAAAAACAGCACCGCGTGAGACGCAAAACTAGCACCTAGTCAGGTGTGTGCACTCCACGCGCTCGTTGAACACGTTAATTTGAATATTTTTTTTCAATTTTTTTTTTCTTCCCTCTCATTTTATCTTTCTTAATCACACGTGTAAAAACTCTCATGATGAAGTTGAGTTTGTTTTTGTTTCAAAAAAAAAAAAAAAAAGAAGTTGAGTTTGTTTTCAAACTTGTGGTTAATGACTAAAGAGTATTTAATGAGAGAGGGAGCTGAGGATAGGGGATAGCTAGTAGCTAGTGCTGCTACTAGATCATGATTCTTCATGAGGTCTGAGATCAGAGGACTCTGAATTTTGATCAGTTTCTTGGGTTATGGGTCCTGAATAAAATCTCACTTTTCTTCCTCATGCAAGAAAACACCTTACTTTTTGCATTGCCTTTTACTATACTCTCCTCAGGTTTCGTTCTGGCCTGTGGGTTGTGTTTTTATTCATTTTCTTTAAGCTTTTCAAAACCCCAAAAAAAAAAAAAAAAAAAAAAAAAAACCCAAAAAGTCCACACAAACAAATTGCACTTCATGTAATTAAAAAAGTGAGTCAAACATCATAATGCAATGGATTTTGTACCACAAAAAAAGTAAGTCCATATATTATTAAGGTTTTAAGAGAGAGATTAATGCATGATTTCCAGGGTGGGGTTAACTCAGTACTGTAGACTAGTCCTGCCCACATTTAAACTCTCTTTTAACGTTGTTGTTTTTTAGTACCAATTGTTATTGCTAATGTTAAAAAAGAGGGGAAAAGGGAACTCCTTTGGTTTGCACTTTGTTTAGAGAAAGAAGAAAGGGAAACCATCCAATGATTTGTTGTGATTCCACCACATTGGCTTGTTTTGGCATCTTTGAGGAAGCTTATTATATTTATATTTAGTGACAATATCAACCCAACAGAGAGTCTACAAATTTCTGGGAAAAAGGAAAAAAAAACCAGCAAAGGGTATCCATCCTAGGTGAGGAGGCTGCTCTACAACAAAGTTTAAGGTTTGTTTATTCCCTCATCTTCTCCACTATGTTTAAGAATGCCTGAAATTCTTGATGGGAAAGCTAAGGTTGTTTGTTTTGTTGCCATTTCTTATCTTGTTTGTTCCTGCTAAATTTGAGTTGTACATGAGATTGGAGCATAGATTAAAGGTAATATTGCCAAATTTTAGTGATAAATTTGATCACCATAAACTTATAACATTGAAGAAAATGAGGAAATAATTCTTAGAATTTATTTGTTTCCCTTAAACTTTGATTATAATCATATTCAACAGTGAGAAACCAAGTGGTTTTGTTGTCCTAGTAAAATCAAATGTTTTGTAATTGGGAACTTTTTGCCATTACTATAATGATGGGATTGGTTCTATTTTGCAATGAATGGTAATAGGAGAGGAAGTATTCCTTTTTAGGAAAACAAAGAACATTTTTGAGACAGGGAGTCAAATGTTAATGCTTTTCTGGTTTTATCTGTGGACACCATTGTTACTAGAGAATTTGGAACATAATAAACTGTCTGGAATCAAACCTATATGCTGAGTATTTCTTTCTTTTCTTAAGATTCTTCCTAAGTTTATGTTAATATCAAACGCTTACCAGTACGTCAAAAGGCATAGCTCGTAGCCCAGACTCAACTTTATTTCTTTATATACTGTCACATTTTTAAGAGGCGGGGTGATAGATTTGACCCTTTGAGTCTCCGCCCAGTAATCCTCTACTCTAGCCAAATATTGCTGGACTTGACCCTTCACCGGCCTCGACCCAACAGTTTACTTGTGTTACTTTCCTAATTCACAAATGGACTAATCTTTCTTTTCATTTGAAGTTTATATGGTTTTATTAAAGATGAAAATCATTATGTTAACAATAGTATAATATATGTTTCTGTTACAGGTTTTACTGTAAGAGTGACAATCTGTGAAATGGCGAAATTCTGCGATATCTAGCGTTTTAGTTGCTTCTGCTTGTCATTTTTATTCACGGAATGACACGAAAGGATATGGTGGTAAGTAGGCCAATAGATATGGCAGACCATAGTTCTATTGTTGCAGATGAATATTTGTTGCCCCCGACAAACTTTGTGTCGATTGGCTGTCCCGATTGGATCAATCTAAGCAACCAAAACGAGAACCAAAATGAGAACCAAATCATGGATGGACATGGAATTTCTCTTCCTTCGGTGCTGCAAGGTGAAGCAATGAACAGCTTTATGAGCGTGGCGAATTTCAGTCAGCCCGTTAATTGTGAGACAGTTAAAGATTTATCGGTTGCCAGTTTGTATCCAATCAACGGTGCTCCTCAAATACAGAATGATTTTCGGGAGAGGACACCACTGTCAGCTGTATCCCTCGCGTACCTTTTGGCTGCGAGAAATGGAGCATATGAAAATCCCGAGAAGTTTGAAGCCTCTGCCACGTTACCATATTCAACGCAAGTCACGAGAGGTTTAGGTTCGAATAGCTATTCTGATATTTTCAATCCCTCGTGTGGGTCTCTTGCGAACCATGAATTCAGTGTGTTGCCGGTTGATATGAGCAGAAAATGTGATTTCGATAAGCCAGAAATCATGGGGACAGTCATGGGAAGAACGACGGGGTCTCAACCGTTCCCGTTACCCGGGAACATCAATCCCGGGGTGTGGTTCTCAGCAGAAAGAGCGAGTTCGAGTTCTAGTAGCCCATCGGGCTCGTCCAGATTTAGTAACGAGCTGTCCCTTAGTCTCACCACAACCCCGCCACAGGTTGCCTGTGGGACTTCCATTCAAGACCAGTTTTCGGAGTTAAGTTGTTCTGGTGTAACCAGCAATCCTTTCCGGGAAAGGCCATTTGGTGGATTAGAACAAGCACCTGCTTGCACTGGGAACAAGAATCTATCCTTGAACTTCGATTCGTATAAGCCAGTCCAACTTTCCCAATTCTTATCTGGATCGAGATATCTTGCAGTGATGCAAGAAATACTTTCTCAAATTGCCAAATATTCACTTGAGAATCTTAATTCAATATCCTATCCAACTAATTTGACAGATGACGGTGAGCATAGTCCATTTTCTTTGAGCTGCTCTGCTGGAACTGGAAGGGGCGTCGCTGTCTTAGGCTCCGATCCTTTTCCTTATGGGGCCCACAGAACTGTAAACCGAGTGGACGCTGAAACAAAGAGAAAGCATCTCCTGGCTTTGTTACAAGCGGTATGTATGTTTAGTGTGAATTAGTAATTGGTATTTCCTTAATTTAATTTCGATATTGCTCTGATCTTTTGCTGTTTATAACAAAATAGTGTTGAAGTGTTTGAGTTTAAAATATTTTAGTAGTTTGGGCACACTGGAAAAATACTAAAAGTATCATGAATGAAACGATGGTTTTCTAACCAGTTGGGTTGGCGTGAGTGGCTATACACTATCATCCTTTAAGAGAGGTCGAGAGTTCAAAAACCCTATTCTCGTATGGAAAAAATTGATATGGCCAACACTTTGCCCCTTGCCCTTTATTTGGACCGGCCAAGTGGCCCCCGAGAGTTCAAAATCCCTACTTTGTATGAAAATAAAACCGATATGGCCAACATTTTGCCCCTTGCCCCTTAATTGGGCTGGCCAAGTGACTCCCGAGAGTTCAAAATCCCTACTCTTGTATGCAAAAAAACCAATATGGCCAACACTTTGCCCCTTGACCCGTAATTAGGTCGGCCAGGTGACCCCCGAGAGTTCAAAATCCCTACTCTCGTATGGAAAATTTTGATATGGCCAACACTTTGCCTCTTACCTCTTAATTGGGTCGGCCAGGTGGCCCCCCAGATTATAGTTAGGGCTTACTCAGGATACCACGTGATTTTTTTAGTTTGACATAATTATTTTCTTAGTTTGTTCATCCTAGAGTAGATAACTATGCTCGACTAATCTTGATTTTTACCCACCTTAACTACTCAGGTCGATGATCGGTACAGCCAATGCTTGGATGAGCTCCACATGGTGGTCTCTGCATTCCATGCTGTTACCGAGTTACATCATCCGACTAGTATACACACTCATTTTGCCCTGCAAACCGTCTCGTTCTTGTACAAAAACCTGAGGGAGAGAATTAGCACTTCCATTCTCGCAATGGGAGAACAGTATTCTAGTTCTTCCTCGAGTACCAGAAGTGCGAGGGAGGAGAAATCATTCGAAGCGTCTTTCATCCAGAAGCAGTGGACACTTCAGCAGCTAAGGAAGAAAGACCATCAGTTATGGAGACCCCAAAGAGGATTGCCTGAAAGATCCGTCTCGGTCTTGAGGGCTTGGATGTTTCAGAACTTTCTTCACCCGTAAGCCTCTTCTTCACCTTCATATATATATTGTAGTAGTATTACACATTTAGGGATACTGAATTCTTGGATCTGAATTGCGTTCTATTCTAATTTCCCTCCCCATCTAGATACCCGAAGGACACAGAGAAGCACTTGCTCGCTGTAAAAAGCGGTCTAACAAGGAGTCAGGTACTCCCTATATACACTATATATGCACTAAATCATTCATATATACTCCTTTGATTTAATATCACTTTCAGGTGGTCGGAAATTCCATAATTTCCAGCTGTGTTTTTTCTGCTTTCTTATCATTATATTCGATCATTTCATTTCTGGTGTCTATTATGAATTGTTGGGTGACAGTTAAGTGAGTGATTGAAGAATGAATGTAGAAATTTACGAGTTATTAATGAATGTGAAAAACAGGTGTCGAATTGGTTTATAAATGCGCGTGTTCGGCTGTGGAAACCAATGATTGAGGAAATGTATGCGGAGATGAACAGAAGGAATCATCAACAGCATCATAATCATCATCCGAATGAAGAAGAAATGAATGGGTGTAGAAATCAAAGGTGTTAGTGAGCTGAGGGGTAAAGAAATTAATGGTATTATAACTGTGTATTATATTATGCCATTCCATGCCTGCATGAGTTGTGCAGATGAATGAAAATAGAGAGATTCGTTCCTCCACTATAATCTATAAGTTATCCATCTATCTATCTGTATATGCATGCATACCATCCTCCCCCCACCCCCCCCCCCCACCCCCCACCCCACCACTATTCATTAAGCTATGAAAAATCCTCTTCTTTCTATTCTCCAGCACAAGCGGATAATTGTAACTCTTAAGCTGTATGAGCACAAGCATGTATGATTTTGGTTGGTATTCATATGTATCCTCCAAATACTTTATCTCACACGGGTAGATTAGTTGGTCCTTGGATAGTAAAAATTCTACCAGGTGCGTGTCTGACACGGGTAGGGATGTTAATTGGGTCAGCCCACTCGGTTTCGGGTTAGTCCTGTCGGGTTGTCGGGTTAATCGGTTTATTAATATTTTATTCTCGGGTTCGGTTTGGCCCTAACCCTAAACTTCGGGTTGTCGGGTTAATCGGGCGGGTTGAACCATCTGAACTAAAATTAGAAACTGAAAGTGAATACCCATATTTAGAGTAGGGATGACAACGGATCGGGGAGGGGCGGGGGCAGGGGCGGGGGCGGAAAGTATACTCCCCGTCTTCGTCCTCAACGAGAAATTGAAATAGTCGATATCTACGTTCCAGCGGAGAATTTGGCGGGAACGAGAATCTCGTCCTCATCAATTCTTAGTCAAAATATTAGATTAATGTTATTTCAAATTTTTAAAAACTAAAAATTTAAGTTTTAATTTAAATTATATATATATATATATATATATATATATATTTTTTTTTTTCTTTTTTTAATTATAATAATTATTTCAAGTATGTTAGGTTTCACATCACTTCTATAATAAAGAATATTTTTCAATAGTTCGGGTTGTCGGGCTAGCCCTTTTAATTTCGGGCTAGCCCTATCGGGCCATCGGGCTAATCGATTTCGGGTTCGTCGGGCTAGCCCGTTCGGGCCATAGCCCTGTCAGTTTCGATTTTATCGGGTTCGGGCTAAATTGACATCCCTAGACACGGGTAGCTCAAATGGTTCTTGAGTGGTAAAAACTCTACTAGGTACCATACGTGCGTGACACGGGAGTTCAGTTGGTTCTTGAGTGGCAAAAACTCTACTAGGTGCGTGTGTGATCGAGTAGTTCAGTTGGTTCTTGTGTGATAAAAACTCTACTGGTGCGTGCATGACACGGGAGTTCATTTGCTTCTTGAGTGGTAAAAATTCTACTAGGTACGTGCTTGACACGGGTAGTTCAGTTGGTTCTTGAGTGGTAAAAACTCTACTAGGTGCGTGTGTGACACGGGTAGTTTAATTGGTTTTTGAGTGATAAAAACTCTACTAGGTGCGTACGTGACACGGGTGTTTAGTTGCTTCTTGAGTGGCATAAACTCTATTAGGTGCATGCGTAACATGGGTAGTTCAGTTGGTTCTTGAGTGGTAAAAACTCTACTAGGTGCGTGCGTGACACAGGTAGCTCAATCGGTTCTTGAGTGGTAAGAACTCAACTAGGTGCGTTATGCGTGCGTGACACGGGTAGTTCAGTTGGTTTTTGAGTGATAAAAACTCTACTAGGTGTGTGCGTGACCTGGGTAACTCGGTTGGTTCTTGAGTGGTAAAAATTCTACTAGGTGCATGCATAACATGTTGTGTTCTCACGTCACGGGCAAGAAAACATAAGGAAAATTGAATAGAGAATAACAATTGGAAAATAAAGAGAAGAAAACACTGGGTTTGCTTGAGACCCAAAACTCCCTTAGACCCTTTTTGGGATTCAATTCCTGCTTGCATTATTCTCAATAATACTCCCTTTTTATAGGGTAAAATACAAGTATACAACTCATAGAATGGCTAAATAAGCTAAGTAATCTGCTGAAATCTTCAAGTTTATTTCTAAATAATTAAACTACCTAAATTAATTCGAAGACTAAGAATAATAAGTTAAGTAACTATTTAGTAATTTCTAAATAACTATTTATTAGTTTCTAAACAACTATTTAGTAATTTATTAATATCTAAACTATGTAATATAATAAAATAAGACTTCCTAAAATCCTGGTCCCAAGCATGTATCATTACTCCCCTCTTGGACCACAAGCTTGTCCTCAAGCTTGATAACCTCGTGCAGCTGTAGCCAACACCTCCCACGATCAAATGGCCTCCTCAAAAGAAGTACAAATGGAAGAAACTCAACTGGCATTCTACATATCAATGGAGGAGCAAATAGTGGTGAGGAAGACCCCAAACTTGGACATCCTTTGAAGGATTTAGTTGGAACAGCAACATTGGATGATGAGAGAGACACCAGAGATGAAGGCTGACCAATACCGTACAACACAACCCTTAAATGAGATGGGGTTGGAGAGTGGTGAAATAACCCTCTCAAGCATAGGACGGTTTTTGGAAAGGGCACAACCTCAATTTCAGTAGAGTCAGCAGCCTTTTGTGTTGAATCAACATGAGGCTGATCGACTGAAACGTTGGCCTGCATCGGCACTATCTCCACATGTGGGTGGTCAACAATGATTGTTGATGATTCAAGTGAAGTAGCCGCATCCTTTGTTTGCTTAATTTTGGAGAGAATCGGCGGAAGCAAGTCCTTCAGGTCAGCGGAAAATTTGCGTAAAACTTTGTCTAAGTGTTTCAACACAGTCGCTATTTCTGTGAGAGCTTCAAACTCCGACTGAGTGATGCCCATGACGCCGGCAACGGAACCAATGTTGTGTTCTCACGTCACGGGCAAGAAAACATAAGGAAAATTGAATAGAGAATAACAATTGGAAAATAAAGAGAAGAAAACACTGGGTTTGCTTGAGACCCAAAACTCCCTTAGACCCTTTTTGGGATTCAATTCCTGCTTGCATTATTCTCAATAATACTCCCTTTTTATAGGGTAAAATACAAGTATACAACTCATAGAATGGCTAAATAAGCTAAGTAATCTGCTGAAATCTTCAAGTTTATTTCTAAATAATTAAACTACCTAAATTAATTCGAAGACTAAGAATAATAAGTTAAGTAACTATTTAGTAATTTCTAAATAACTATTTATTAGTTTCTAAACAACTATTTAGTAATTTATTAATATCTAAACTATGTAATATAATAAAATAAGACTTCCTAAAATCCTGGTCCCAAGCATGTATCATAACACGAGTAGCTCAGTTGGTTTTTGGATGGTAAAAACTCTACTAGGTGTGTGCGTGCATGCCCTTAGATGAGATGACTTCAAAATCATATAAGAAAAACCTCAACAAGTTTGAATAAAAATCAGCAAATTAAAGGTAATTATGTTATTTAATACCAACAAGGGTTTTTCAAGTATAGTGACAATCTTACATTTAATCCTAAACAACTTTTAATTTAATTAATCGTGGTCTGTAATAATGCAGTATAGTGACAATCTTACATTTAATCCTAAACAACTTTTAATTTAATTAATCGTGGTCTGTAATAATGCCACTATACTCGGAAGATCTTAACGGTTATTAACTCTTAGTTATTTTACCAAGTGTTTTTTCATTTAAAAAATAATAATTAGTGTATACCAACATAGTCTAATAATGTCTTGAGTATAAAAGAAACAATAAGCTAATAAACAGGGCCGGATTTTAGGCTGTGCAAGCTGGGCTACCGCACAGGGCCCCCAGTTTTAGAGGGGCCCCAAATTTTAGAGGTCCAATATTTAATATTTACTGAGCTAGTTTAGATATAAAAATTAAAAGTTTTCAATTAAACTTAAAAGGTTCTATGAAGAGATGATAGCAATGTGTATTTATTGTATTTTTACTGGGAGGTTAAAGGTTCGAAACTTGCATATTAAAAATTATGATTTTGGAGGGCCTCAGTTATTTACCAGAACAGGGCCCCAAAAACCTAAAATCCGGCCCTGCTAATAAACATACCAATGCAAAGAACAAGTTGGGACCTGCCCTGCCTTCTTATTATCATTATGGTATTCCTTTCATCATCATCATCAAAACAATAAATTATTCTGGGATGTACAAGATTATGACTAATTATTTCGATTACAAACGTTGAAAAAAAAAAAGTGGGAAAAAAATATATATATTATTCTCTCTATCATTTCTCTCACCTTCTATTTCTCTTATCTACAATCCACGTGTAACTTTTTTCTACCCTGACCTTAAATCTTCAAATCTGGGATTTTGTTACATATCTTACACAAAATCACCCACCCCCCTTTACCCTGCTTTCATCTTCTTCTGCTTGTCTCATACCTCTATAGAAATCCTCGTTTTAATCGGTTTCAACTTCAACCCCATGCTCTCCGGTGAGAAAAGCTCGGGGGAGATGCTAGTTGGACTTAACGGACTTCTTGGGCTTACGCTAAACTGCGATGGCCTGTAAAACCCGAACCCCATGAGGAAGTACTCCAACGGTATCAACATTGCATCGGGTTGCTCTTCTGTTACCATTGACCCGCACCCTTGAACCTGTAGGACATGCAATATATACATCGTATGGTGAATCTTTACACCTCTGAAACCGAGAGAACAAGATTGACTAGGAATCGGTTTTTGCATGATACCTCAACTAAAGCGCTAAACCTTCTGTCGAGCTTCGAAGTCATGTGGAGAGCCTCGAAATGGAATGGAGAGTTTTCGCCCACGAATAATAATGAACGACAATGCAGCCTCCGTAAGCCTTCTGTAATGTCCGGTCTCCTGCCAGAGACCACGATTTGATTAATCATGGAATATCAACGAAGTATGCATTGAAAATTAGCTTGATTTTGGTTCTCAACCCTAAAATATGGCATGTCGGTCAAAATCAAGCAGCAACGAAAAAACTAATGTTCATTAGCATCTTTATCACATCATACAATTCTTAAGACCAATATCCAATTATCCATCACTTGAAAGAATAACAAGAGAATAAATTGAGACGAGGAAAAAAAAAAAACCCTTACTCATTGATAGCTTCAAGAAACCGCCAGACATTTGGGCTCTGTCTCTCACCCAGCAACTGAAATATAGATCATACAGACCATGTAAAATCAGAACTAAGAAACCAAGCAAAACCCTAACATTCGTATTTAAAAAATAAAAAAATAAAAAAATAAAAAAAATAAATAAATAAATAAAAAATAAATAAAAAACCCAGCATACAGGAAATAATATGGAAGATTAGAAAAACTGAAGCACTAACTCTTCGGCATGTTTGAACTACATCGGATTCAGGTACTTCTACGCTACCACGAACTTCCTGCAATTTCATGTCACTGAATTAGCATGTTTTCTTGCCCCAAAAGGTTGAATCCAGAACCCCAAGGGCCTACCCCCTACACCCTGACCCGACAGAGTATTTGAGAAGATGTAAATCACGGCAACTCAATGACTCAGCAGACGAATTAAAATGTTTTCTGTTTGTAGCAAATGAGTTTAAAATATGGGATTGAAAAGCACCTTGCTAAAGTAGCGCATGAGCAACAACTCCTTAACCAAACTACACATGCCGCAAAAGTAAAGCAGATTTGACATAACCTGCCAATTGTGCAACAAGCAATGTAAGAATGAAATATTCTCAGCTCGGTATTCTGCCCAACCGAGTAGGGGTGGAAAAGCATATAATTGCCTATAGCGTGCAGCAAATGTACCTTATTACATAGCCATTCCGTCCATGAGGGCGCTTTGCACAGAGGGGAAACAAGAATCAGACCCATAACACGTTTCGTGTATTTTATCTGTGGATTACACAAGGGCTCAGCAAACAAGACCGACCCTAAGCAGAAATGACATAAGCGAATAAAACTATAAGTTTGCCATACGAGAAAACTTACCGCAAACAGAGTAAGAACATAAGCTCCAGCTGTAACTCCCATACACACCACTGCACCAAGTCTGCATAAGGAATGAGAAAAAAAAACAGTCACTTTTCTATTAGATCAACCGACGAATATGGAATTTTGAAAATAAGATACTCAAGGTTCTATTGTCAAATTAAATTTAAGTTTCCATTCGAAATCCATTTCCCAAATAATTTATTCAATGGCAGAGTAAAGGGAGCAAAAGTTATGTAATTGGCAAAGTAAACAACACAGAAAACATCATATAACTACCCGAAGTAATCAAGAACCTCAGTAATCTGGTCTGCTAAATCATCTACGGATAATACTGCCTCATCAGGACTAATTGTAGTAGCTCCCAACTGCAAAAACTCTTGCAAGAAATACCCGATAAGAACAAATGTGAATAGAGATATTCAACAAAAAAGACAATACTTAAAGATCAAGTCAGACCTCATGCCCAGGAGGACTTATATGGTATATAGAGAAATTATGAAGTAGCAAAGAAAATGCTTCGGGACAAAAGAACAATCCTTGGAAACACGACATATCTGTTCGACCAAAAAGAGAGAGAGAGAGAGAGATGTTAGTCGTGCCTTGGAGAAACCTCAAATTTTATCAAACACACCAAAAGCAAGATATTGGACAGAAACCAATAAATAATTCCAAGTTGGAAAATTTCATTTGGAAATTGATATTTAAGCACGTGGCAAAACCTTTCAGAAAATAACAAAAGAAGCGGTTAAGATTTCCAACAACTAAATCCAGGACATAAAACTTTCACAAACGGGAATTAATTGGATGTTTCAAGAGTTCCAGGAAAATTATGAATAGCCCGCAGTGTTTGTTAATAAGCTAAAGTTGATGCACTTACAATTCAAAGCCAGATCAGGGTAGGTAATAAGAGCGGGCTTGTCCTGGTCTCCAAAAACAGTAACGGAGATGGAACCATGGCCAGTTTTTACAATATGCTCCTGAAGGAAAATTACGGGGAAAGCAAAATCAGTAACATAACTAACATTACCTAACATATAGGCCAAAGAAAATAAAGCTTCAACACTTCTGTCCCTTTCTTCTTGTTTTATTTTCCTTTTCATATTCTCTATAAGCCAGCTGTGTTGGGTCTAGAATACCCACCCCACATACTGAAAAGGGGAACAATTACTGCAAACACAAGCAAAGTATCTTCTATTTCCTGATAAGAAAACCTAACTATTTATTTTTTTCTTGAATTAGCTTATAGCCTCGTGTCTCATGGATCAAATAACAATCTTTTTCTTATTATCCGGTAAGAGATGCGTGGATATGATGGGCTTTCAGCCTTTCACTAATGAAGTGAAGCATATCACAAATAGTAAAACAAGTAACATAAGAACACAAGAATACTCATATTTAACTAAGACCTGCAAATTTCCAAGAATTCTAAACTTTTGGGTTCATGGATCAATTAAAGGGTATTCATCTTGAAATTTAGTTTCTTCTCCCAAATAATGCCTACTAAATCAGTGAACTAAGCCCATCCCGGCTTGAAATTTGGTTTCTTGTAAGAACTGCCATGATGTTAAGTGGGAAATAACAAGATTACAAAAATAGCAAATTAAAAAAAAACTTCTAAAACAACTGAACTAACACATAAATACCAAATTTTCACAAGATCAACAAATACCAACCAAGAATTCTGTCTAAATGGATCCCCACTAAAACTGAATCACTATGAAATTTCATAGACCACCAGAAAAAGAAACTAATTTGGCTTTTTGACAACAAAAGATTAACTCATCCATAAAGAATCACAGCAGAGAAAATTACTATGAGGCATTCGGAAGAACCGCATGTATTATCCTAACTCAATGTTGTTAAATGGGCACTTTTTACACTAAATTCTACATTAATAATGTCAAATGAAAACCAAAAAATATCAAACCAAATTCAAAGAAAACCATGTAATTCACAAACCACACTAGAATTCATATGAACATTTATATATACACATGCGTTGGTGGAGGGAAATGTGCGTAAAAGCAGACCTTTCCGGCGAGGGAGATGGTATCAATGTCGACCGACACAGAGTCGCTTGAGTCTCCCATTGCCGCCGCACTCTATCGCGCTATGTCTCTCTCTCTCTCTCTCTCTCTCTTTCTCTCTCTCTCTCTCTTGAAATGCGTTGGATTTGGGAGCCATACTCATATATATACGAATCTCCCTATCTCCATCTTCTCCCCAAGTTTCTCTCTCTAAATATACGGAAATACATTTTTTGTATGTATCTATATATACTGTATCGTATATTGCGCAATATTCTCCGTTCACTTCTCTCTCAAAAACTTTTTTTAACTTTTATAAATCTATATATATTTATTATGAGTTCTGTATCTGTACACAGACGTCATTTTCGGTCACCGAGTTAGCGAGCTTGACCCACAACGTTCACCGGGTCACCGACGCGAGTTAACTCAACCCAAGGGCTTTAACTTTGGTTAATGGACCGACAGAATTTGGCTTCGAAATGACGGGAATAGCCTTTGCGCTTTACTTCAATACTTCCTTTTGTTTTTCCTTTCTTGAGCTTTCTTTCTCTTTATGTTTGGTTTCCTTTCCCTTTTAGATTGAGTCCCATGTCCTATTCAACTTGATTGCTTCTTCTCTAATCTTATTGCAAATTTCTTGATCCATGTCATTTTCACAAATTATTAAGACAAGAGTCACATTCTTCATTAAAATTTTGTGTTGTATTTGTTATTATTCTCGTCTTGTATCATATAATTCGGTATAATATATAATTTTCATATTTTAAAATTACACTCTCTATCCATTTTATCTGTCTTACTTACTAATTATTGGTCAAATCAACTCTTTCTTATTTGTTTATTTTTTAATTTTTTTTACCTATTTTTAATTTTTTCGCGTATAATAGTACTTTTAATGTACTTTTACTTGTACTTGGCGTTAATTCACATACAGCTTGTCACGGAGCAATAGAGTCAACATTATGTAGAACATGAATACTTACTCCACTTGAATCGATGCCTATCAAACTCATTTAAGCTTGAAATTGATTCTTTGATGCTAAAGTCACCAACTACATCTAATTGGCCAACATCTGTTGTGACTTCATCAACCTTGTGGAGTATTGAAGCAAATGTAAAAGACGATGGAGAGGCAGCAATTGGTTGAGCATTTTCAGCCAAGATCTTTAATTTCTAAGACATTTAATTAGCCCGTACTACTTGCCTCTTCAACCCATTCCATCATGATAAGTGGTGGCTTTTGCTTAATAACAACAATGCTTCTAGTTCAATCCATCTATTTTGTCAAATGCAAAAAATTTAGTACACTTGCAATTTCATACAAACCAAATTTTATGATTGATTCCTCCAGAATTGGGGATTTTGTCGAGCCTTCAAGTGTTTTCTTGGTTGTGTGAATCAGATTGAAAGTAATATGCATCATTAGCTCCATTTAGCTTAGCACTCTCCCATATATAAGTGAAAGAGATACGTCGATGATATGGTTTTGCCCCTTCTCTATCACTTCTTTTAGTATATTTTCAGCATTCAATTTGTGCAAGTAATGCATACTCATTCTTTTTACGCTATTAAATTCATGTTTGCAACTCATACAACAAAGTAAGCACATTTAAATCAAATATAATTATGAAACTTAAACAACAATCACCCAAAAATAACAATAATTTTGTTGACTTATTTTAGATTCAAATATGTTCTTTTTTACAAACTAGCACTAGTAACCTAATTGCACATAAAACACTACCAACAAAAAAGAAGCAAACTGATATTGCAAATACGGGGTATACGTAAAGGGTGACTCGCGCGTATAACTAACTGGGTATTGAAGCTCGGGATTCCTAATAGTTGGTCGGGAAGCTCCAGTTCAATTAAATGCCAAAAGTCCCCCTCTAGTAGCAATAAATGCCCTATTTATAGGAGCTGGAGGGGATAGGCCCTGGGTCTCCGACATGGACGGCACGTGGTGGGCATGCACCGATCACGCCCAGGGTCGTGTATCATCGCGACACGCGGCAATACCTCTCTGAAACCACTAGGGGTGTAGGCTCGAAGGCGCGCTGGTCGGGCTCTGACGAGGAGGGGACGGGCGGCTCGAGTCGTCCGGCTAACCCAGGAACCAGACCCACAGTCGGGAGGATCGGGGGGAGACGGTCGAGAAGACGGCCAGCTGATCAATTGGTCGGTCAGGGCTCGCAAAGACCTCCGGTGCAGGTACCGACCAGTACTAGCCGTATTGCTACCTTTCGCAGGGGTATATCCCTATCACAAACAAACAATGAAGACAAAGACAATGACAAATCTATCCAAAAGTGAATTAACAAAACTTAGAGTAATTCCAACCAATAGTAGTATCTACATCTAATACCTACCAACTACAATAAGTATTTAGATAATTAACTTTAGAAAAATGCAAACATTAATTTTAATGCCAATTATAATGAACTTCTCTTATATAATTTGTATTGATATACTTTGAATTACTTATTTAAATAAAAAATTTTGAAGAACACTGCCCCAATAAAATTCTAGGGCCCATTTATAATTTTCTTTGTTTTCTGTTTTCTAATTTTTCAGTTTTCATTCTCTATTTTCCCTTATTTGTTTTCTGTTTAGAAAACTTGTTTACTGACACTTATTTTTTTCATTTTTTTATTTTAATGTTATAAAAGTAACACAAGTTTATTTTCGAGTGATTTTAAGATTTTATATTTAATATATTTTTACATATGTTTGGTTTAAATGAAATACATTTAATTTTATTTTACTTAATCTTATATTTATTAAGATTTTTACATAAACACTAAAAAATATATCTGAACCAATAACCGACTAAGTTCACCTAAAATTTAGTTTAGATAATATTAATACTTTTTGAGCTAATATTTAAAATATTTTTTGAATATATTCATTTGAATGTCATGTATATGAATATATAATTTTTACTTTGAATTCTAATATATGTGAGATTTGAATATCCGATATCCGGACTGAACTTGTATTACGATATAACATAACTAAAAATATCCGAACTAATAATCTATTGAGATCAATCAAAATCTAAAACATTGTATAGAGTTCAATTCTTAATTTTGATAATGTAAGTAATGTCTAATTTTAAAGTGTAAGCAAATAAGTTATGTTTAAATAAGTAAAGTATGTAGAAAAAATAGAAGATGGTGATAAGTAAAAGAAGATGATAATGAATGTAATCATAGTAATAATGTGGTTATAGTGACATATAACCAAATAGATGATAGATATATGATTGTGTTTTCCATTTAGAAAACAGTTTTTAAGAGTGTTCCAAAAAATTATTTTCAGTTTTCAAAATGGAAAACTGTGCTAGTAAACATGTTTTCTGTTTTCTATTCTCCAATTCTCCAGTTTTTCAAAAAAATGGAGAAAATTTCCAATTGTTGTGTTGTGGAACAGTGTCCAGCTTGCAAGGTGGACACGGTTCTATGTTCATAATTACTGAACTCTATGTTCATAATTATAAAACTCTATGTTCATAATTTTTGAACTTCATATTCACAATTATTGAACTCTATGGTCATAATTACTGAACTATATGTTCATAATTTTTGAACTTTATATTCACAATTATTGAACTCTATATTCACAATTACAGAACTCTATGTTTATAACTCCATGTTCATAATTATAGAACTCTATGTTCATAAATTTTGAACTACAATTATGACAGTTTTAAAACTGTATCCACTTTATAAGGTAGACATGGTTCCACAACATAATTTGTCGAAAATTTTCTATTAGTAAACAACCCTAGTTTGTTGTAAATATAGAAAGAATGAAAACTCTGTCGGGTCGGAATGTGGGGGACCCTTAGAGTTGGGGATTCAACCTTTGGGAGAAGAAGGAATGAAAATTGCAATAAATATTGCCAGCATGTACTCCACGGTGTAGACTATATTTGGTCAAAGTAGGCCCCACGCTTTAAGAAACACGGGGTGTCCACAAGACCACCACAAATCAGCAAATAGTGGATCTTATTATGGAACTCTTTTGATTCTTTTGGCTCTTGACAAATTCTCCCACAAATTATATAATCTAAAAAGAAAGACTATGATTAGTGGTTTTTGGGTGTTCGATGGCTGGAATATTCGACAATCATATTAAATATTTCATCCCTTCTATTTTACCCATTTGATTTTATTAACAGGATTTAATTTTAATTATTTATATAATTTATTTTTAATATTAGTGTATTGCGCGCGCACACACACACAGATATATATATATATATATATATATATATATATATATATATATAGAAGAGCGCTCATATGCGGCGGGGTCTTACGGTGCGGCGGTGCGGTCAAATTCCAGAATACACCAACAGTGTTAACAATATGCACCAACAGTGTAATAAAAACACACCCCAATGAAATGTAATAAAACATCACAAAATACACCACAGACTCAAAAAAACACACCATATAACTCACCACCCCCAATGGTGTATTTCCGAACAGTGTATGGTGTTTTTACTCACACCTAATGGTGTGTGTTTGGTGATGCAGGGCTCTGTTTACTCTGTTTTGTGTGGTGTATTTCCTAACGTTGATGGTGCATATTTGGTGAACTATTGGTGCTGCCGCACCGTAAGAAATAACCGCACCGTAAGACACTGCCGCACCTGAACCTGCCTCTATATATATATATATATATATATATATATATATATATATATATATATATATATATATATATATATATAGGAAAGGGTTCAGGTGCGGGTATGCTTCCCGTGCGGTTAACGCACCTTAAGCATTAAAATGGCGCACCTTAAGCACACAAACAAATCACCTTAAGAACACAAATAACGTACCTTAAGTACACAAACCACACAAATTAAGCACACAATAAAGCACCTTAAGAACACACAAAACCACGCACCTAAGGTTTTAAAATGGCTCACCTTAAATTTCACACAACTGACGCACCTTAAGCATACAAATCACGCACCTTAAGAAGGAAAACCACGCACCTTAAGTTTCAACAACTACTCACATTAAGCATAAAACCCACGCATCTTAAGCACAAAACTCAAGCACCTTAAGCACAAAAATCACGCACCTTAAACACAAAAATCACGCACCTTAAGTTTCAACAACTAGTCACATTAAGCACACAACCCACACACCTTAAGCACAAAACCCATGCACCTTAAGCACAAAAACCACGCACCTTAAGCACAAAAACCACGCACCTTAAAAAAGAAAACCATGCACCTTAAATTTGACCTAGATG